GCAACAATACAATCAAAGGGATGCTCTACATACCACATGTTGTTTTGCAGTATAAATTAGATTGAGATGCCCAACAATTGTTAAGATGGATTACCCCCCCCGCCCTCCTTGGTTGGACCATATGGAAATTTAGGTCACATGCTGAATGTAAATATTATGCTTTGGAAAAACTGCCGCCTGAGGCCAACTGAACTCCGAGGGCTCGTTCAGTCTGCCTCTCTCTGCAGGAGAAAAACCAAAAGTTATATTAATATTGGATAGTTTGGATCTGAATAGATAAATCTGCTACCACAAGAATTCAGGGAGTGAGATCAAATAGAACACTCTCCTCCTTTTGAGTGTGTTTTGTTCAGAGGCTTAATACATAACTATAGTGTGTATAAAACATACAAGTTTATTTATCGGTGCATCCTTTAAGACTCCTTTAAGTTAAAGTTGTGAGGATGCTTCAACTGCCGACGAGCCACATAATAATGTAATAATGTAATAATAATGACTAAATCCTGACCCAAAAAGCCCAGCAGCTGGATATTTACTGAAATAGTGAGTGCTGATGTTGAATTATTCATTCCTTGACATCTAATGTCTATGAAATGTTAATTATCTCTGAAAGAGAACTCCCCGTGACAAATTTAAAAGTAAAGTTTGGATGATTTATTAGATTGCATAACAGGTGGGAGGAAAGAAAAGAATCCCTCTTGTGCAGTTTAAGGATATCAAGATGTTTTTGCTTCTCATTCGACTTGTTAGACCAGAGGTTTGTCATATTTCCTTCCGGCTTCAGTGTCCTGCCTTTAAAACAATGTGTGCTGACCATATTTTTTCACAAATTCAGGAAAAGTCCCAGATGGGCTGCATTTGCTGGTTGTCTAAGAAAAGAGGAATGTGTAACCACCACCTAAAGAGTCTGTATTTTTGCTTTTTGGGTTTCCCCTCTTTCGTGCATTTTTTCTCTAACTTTTCATGGAATAAAAAGAAAATTCCACAAAATAATGAAGCTTAAACATTTAAAAGAGGACGTTCTCTGAGCTGTTTTCAACCTTTATGACAACGTTAATGCTAACGCAGATGCAAAAGATGGTGAAACTGATCATACTTGCATTTAATGCATGCAGTGTTCATATAGCTCTTTGTCCTGTTTTTTTCCTTTTCTCACAAAAAAGGCAATCTGAGAAGGTTTCTCATCATTTCCAAACAGAACGAAGAACCGGAAGACAATTCAAGGTTGTTACTTTTTCGTGAGTTCATTTACCAAACTGTGTGCTTGAGCAAAGTCCCTCATGGCCGAAAAAGAAACATCCTCCCGAGCTCTCTTTTGATTGGAAAGGTTTTCAACACAACAACTGTTCTGGATTAGCTGCTGGGGAAGCATGCTTTCAGTTCTGCCTTTTATTTCTGGACGCCGAGACGATGGCGTCTTCGGTTCTGGCTTCTCTCCCATTTAGCATTTAATCTTGAATGTTTTCCACGTGCGCTCATGGACAACCGCAACCAGATGCTGCTGTGTGTCAGGTTTCCCGTCAGCACAAGGCCAGTGTGTGTGTGTGAGTGTGTGTGTGTGTGTGTGTGTGCAGGAGGGCGTGTGGGTGCCTGAAAAGGGAGAAGGCTTCGAAGCGTGGGAGGAGGAGGCATCAAAGACAGGGGGGAAATCGGATCCCCTCTTTCGACAAAGCAGGCCATAAGGTTCAGAGACAAAGGAAATGCGATCCGCCATGTGACCGTGAACGCCATGGATTCCTCCCCCTGTCTGGCTCCATTCAGCTTTTCAACCATTCAACTTTATCAGTGCCACAGCCGGCACTTTGGACCGGTCGAAACAGTCCTTCGTATGGAGGATTTGGGTTTTTAGAGAGTAGATTATAATAGTATGCTGTCACTGAGAACAGGAAGTGAGTCCTAATGTGAGAAATACTCAGTTTTTGGGTGCAGTTTGGGGGTGGATTCACTGGGAGATAAAGTCAAGTCCTCAACACTGATCAACCATTAATCAACACTTAATGGTGACATATGTTTCTTATTTTGAGGTTTCTTTAAAGTGTCCGTGTCATGCTTTGGCCGAAGATACAGACAGATGGCGCAGCGGCTCGGTTTTCATCCATTAATATAATATGCACCTCTTTCCAAAGTTAATTATTTAAGTCATAGGCTGACGAACTCAGCTCCTCTCCATAACTCTCTTTCTGTGGTTTTGACCTCTTTTGACACTTCTTTTACTTAATTGTTACATTTTGATGATTACATATGATGTTAATGACCAAGTTCAGGTGGGGAAAAATTTGTAAGGTAATGCAAATGTATCCAGTGTATTTCAAAAGCTCCTTGAGTGACACATTTGAAAAGAGGACAGGATATCATCAGTTTTTATGACAACCAATTTCGCATTCCAACGTTCGAAATCAACACAAAGAGATCTAAGAGGCTTTCACATAGCTCTAAGCTTTCTGTTGGAGGTTGCATAAAAAAACGAGAAGTTTCTAGGATGACGATGCGGGTACAGACTGTACTCTGGGGTGCATTCCATTTAGCCAGGGACATAACCTGGTATCTGAGCATGCCGTTTCACAATGCGAAACACATTCCAGTTAACTGCTAAAACTGTTAATGCCCTTACTAGCTGCTGTCACAGGAAGCTGATAATGAATCAACAGGCAGAAATATGTATTTACACAATACATTAGGTAATTATGCAAATGACCTAATGGAAAATGAATATGCTTTCCACTTAAATTGACTCCAAAACTTTGTAATTTGACCTAAAGATTCCTTAAATTCATACTCTGAATGTAAAAGTGAATGCTGAACTTTATAGATAATTTTAAGACATTGATTATTTATTAGTCAAACAAGTAAAATTGAGTTGTTTTCTGGGAAATTCTCTGATAAAGGTGAATCTTTATTTGGCGTGAATGCTAACTACAACGCATAATTTGTAAGAATTGGGAGATCACTTTGTAATGAGGATGAAGATCATTTACCATAAAATATGTGTTAAAACGTCCCACCAACCTTGACCTGTACATTTGGTGGTCCTTATGTTCTCTATTTGACATCATTAGCTCCAACATAGTGACACACAGCTCATGTGATGGATGACAAAGTGACATGCATGAAAAAGGAACATTTTCTGCCTCGACGTGCCTGAACAGAGGTTCGATTCCATGTTTTTGCCCCGTTAACATTCCTAACACCCACACCAGAGGCAGCGACGTGTTTGCAGGTGCTTGAGTAACGCAAACATTTTCCACTCATTACCGAATGCCTGGAGGTTTGTGTTGTCTGCTCTTTTGCGGTCGATGGGTTTGGAGGTTCAAAACAACCTGCGAAATAATGCTGAAAGAACTTTTAAAAAAGGTCTTAATAAGATTTTTTTTAATCCTTGGAGGAACAAATGTATTCAATCAGAATACAATCTGATATATGAAAAAATATGTATATATATATGCACATATATATTATAGGGAATATTAACAGGAAATGAATCCTCTACTGTTTCATAATAAAGAAGGAAGTGGAGCAAACCAAGAAACAGAGTGCCTGAAAAACAAAACCCACAAACTTTAAAACAAAGCCTAAATAAATTGATTTGAACTTTGAACACCAAAGCAAAGCAAAGCCTCTCAAACCTGCTTTGCAGCATGTGTCCACCTCAGTGTGTTCTCAGTGCTTTCGTCCTAAACGTGGAAAAATACACAAGTCACCCAAACTGTTTGTCCTGTGAGGACAGACAAAAGCAAAAACACCTTTTCAGCCATTATTTACAACATGTTTGGACAACTGAACATGTGGAATATCATGGAGGTATTTCCTGCCCCAGAACGCTTTCATTAACTCTCTGCTGGGGGGGACGGCCATTTTGCTAAAAACCCATAGAGCATGGTCAAAGCCAGAACCATTAACATGTACATGCTTGTGCTTTAAGGACTCCTCAGAGAGTTTGGAAAAAATGCTTAGATTAAATGTATTAACTAGAACAATATGGATTATTTTTTTCCCTAAGAAGACCAATTCAAACAGACATTATGTAGTGAAGTTTAAGTAGGTTACAACACAAGTGAAGCCCGGCTGTTTTTTTTTGGTGTAACCAAACCAGGAGAACTTCATTCAAATACCATTTTCTTAACTTTTCCTCTACATTTAAACTGAAGAGCGATGAATGATGAAATGATTTGGGCTTAATTACTTAAGATCGCCACACTTTGTGTTAAGGCGAACAATTGCCACATAGCAATGTTTGTCCACAGTTCAGTATGTTCTACTTTTAAAGTCCAACTCCTAAAATCATGATGGATGATGTGTTTGTTGGCTGGGTTGGGTCATGTGATGGCAACCGCAGATGATGAGTGTTACATTCTGGAGCCTTACACAATGTATTTTTCCATCAGAGCCTTTTCGAAGGTCTGAACCAACCTAACCCTAAGCATGTGTCTTTTTTTGCTACTGAGAGCATTGATTGGCTGGTTGGGTTGACAATGGCAAGTGCACCATCCTGGACACAGAAAAGTGAAAGGACTCCGGAAAAGACTGTAAAAGTCAGCAGATTCTCCTATGAGGGTCACGTCACAAACTTAAGATTGAACTTTGTCCCATTCAGGATGGTTAAGCATCAAAATTAATGTGGACATTCCATCAGTTGTGCAAGTAGAGATGCATTGCAACACGAAATGCGGTTATTTTATCATCCTTTAATCTTGTTCTTTGGACCGAAGAATGCATTTAGCTACACGTTTTGAAACTGTACTGTTGGAGTCATTGGGAGTAACCTCTGACTCCGCATTCCTGATCACGCCTTGTAGGCTACAGGTCCCGGGTGTGTTCGCAAAACTGCCAACCGAGAGCTTTTTCGATTCTTTGACATTTCCATCTTAAAACGTCATCAAGCCATTTCAGCCCACAACAGGTGCAAAATGATGGTTAAAAACAGCAACCCACGATCCTGCGGCGGTGAAAACACGAGATCTAATCTGCAGCGCTCTTGGTTTCAGACCTCGTAATGAGCTCAAGAACTTTAACAAACATCTGGACGACACAGTAAAGTTCATTTGCACTTTTATTCCTCTGATTTTTGTCTTTACGTCTCACACTCAGACATGCAGTTAGAGTATGCTTCCTCTCAATACTGCATTCCTCTCAGGAACAGGATTCAGAAACACTTTTCACCAACCGAAACTCCTCTTGATCTGGTCTGAGGTTCTCACACAGGCGAACCGAGCGCCCATCCGTATGCTATGTGAGGTATGTAGAATTTTTTGACGACTATCTTCTGACTTCATGCTCCCCAGCTGACTCACGCTCATATAGCCTACTGCTTTCCTATCGTTTCCTGATAGGCTGGAGCTGGTGCTGGCACACACTCTCTCACACGGGCTATCTAGAATCCCCATTTAACCCAGCATGCATGTTTTTTCGGACAGTGGGAGGAGTCCAAACAGAAACTAAATACAGACTCAACACAGAAAAAAGCCCCGGCCTGTCTGTGGGAACCTTCTTGCTGCGAGGCGACGCTGCTAACCACCGCACCGCTGCGTAGGCCGACTTTAAAATCGCTTTGAGTAAGAGCCTGCAAAAGCCATAGGGGGGAAATATGGTGACAGCAGGCGGCTGTCTTCATACACGCATCATAGGGGCCATTAGATAACATGTCAGTTCGCACCCTGGCCCTAAAGCTCCAGTCATGGTGAACAGGCCATTGTCCTTATCTGCCCGGAAGGACTTATATGGACGTCCGGGGCTGTACGCTCACTCAATGCCTCACCTGATATAATAATAATTAATGAATACATTTTGAGACAAGATACCAACAAAAGTGTGGTAGATTAGAGAATGAGCGTGTGAGTGTTACCAGTGAAGGACCGCCTATCTCATAAAGAGCAAAGCTGAAATCAAAAGCCAGTGTTGGTGGTAAACACTGAAGAGCAAACAGAGTTTACAGTCATAGGCTACATGATAACTGAACTCCGCTCTGATCACACGGTATGAAATATCTCATAAGCCAGCAATGATTTCATTATTTATGGATTACTATTGGAAATATCAAGCAAAGAATGGGCATTTTCTTAAAATGTTGAGACATTCATTCAATGGATGGATGGATGGATGGATGGATAGATAGATAGATAGATAGATAGATAGATAGATAGATAGATAGAT